AGTGCCATGGCGTCACAGCTCACAGCAGCCTCCAGTTTTTGGGCTTAGGCCATTCTCTTGCCTCAGCCTCCCAAGTAGCTAGGACTATAGGCACCCGCCACAACCCAGCTATTTTTTTGTTGTAGTTGTCATTGTTGCTTAGCTGACCTGGGCCAGGCTCAAGTCCGCCAGCCTCGGTGTATGACCAAGCGCTAGGCACCCTGTCACAATCTAGATACTGTTATTGTCTAGATTCTATGGTCTGTTCTGTCTTTTGGATTTTTCTGGTTTCTTTGTGGTGGTCTATCTTTTATATTTTCTATAAATTGAAAGTTTCAAAGCTTTTATGGGTTCAAGTTATTTTGACTAGAATACATCAAAATGTCAAGTGATACTGTATACTTTATACACATATAGTATCACGTCAGGGGTTACACCTGGATAACCTACCATTCGTGATGCTAAGATTTACATTACCTTTGAGTAGCACTGATGCATTTCATCCTTCATAACCTAATGCGTTTATTCTTACTCCAGTATGACTGTCTCATTCTCAAATCATTATTCTCAAACCAACAATACTAGTACTGCAGCCAACAACAGTATCACCTGGGAACTTACTAGAAATGCATATTCACGACTGTGTGCAGTGGCTCCTGCCTGCAATCTTAGCACTCTGGGAGGCTGAGGGTGAATAGCTTGAGCTCATGAGTTTGAGACCAGCCTGAGCAAGAGCAAGACTCCATCTCTACTAAAAATAGAAAAACTGAGGCAAGAGGATGGCTTGAGCCTAAGAGTTGGAGGTTGCTGTAAGCCATGATGCCACGGCACTCTACCCAAAGTGACAGCTTGACACCCTGTCTCCAAAAAAAGGAGAAAGAAATGCATATTCATGGGCTTTTCTCTGACCCACTGAATTAGGAATTCAGGAAACTGTTTGAAAAAGCCTTCTAGATCAGTGGTTCTCAACCCTCCTGATGCCATGGCCCTTTAATACAGGACTCACAGGTTGAGAACCACTGTTCTAGGTGATTCATTTTTTTTTGAGACGGTGTTACTATATTGCCCTCGGTAGAGTGCTGTGGCGTCACAGCTCACAGTAACCTTAAACTCATGGGCTTAAGCTATTCTTTTCCCTTAGCCTCCCAAGTAGCTGGAACTACAGGTGCCTGCCACAATGCTTGGCTATTTTTGTTGTTGTTGTTGTTGTTGTTGTTGTTGTTGCAGTTGTCACGGTTGTTCAGCTGGCCCAGGATGGGTTTGAACCCGCTAGCCTCCGTGGCTGTAACCACTGTGCTACAGACGCCAAGCCTCTACATGATTCTTGTACATACTAAAGTTTGAGAACCACTGAGCTTTCTTAACCCATAGTTTAGTTTCCTGAATAATTTAGTTTATCATTGGGGGCATAGATTAGGGTAAGATATTTTGTTACTTTTTATTTATATGATTCAATATGAAAGTCTTGAGTTACAGCTCAGCACCTATAGCTCAACC